AATGTACAACAGAAATTACAATAAAGCTTGCCAACTATCCTTCAACAGTTCACTATTCCACTAAAACCATCATTATTTTTAGAACTTCCATTTTGTTCCTTTAACGAAGTTTGATGTTCCAGATATCGAGTGTTTGAAGCTAGTCGTCTTGAACCTGATTGCTGTTTTAAAATTTAGCAGTGTTTTTGCTTTAAGAATTTTTAGGATTTTTAAAGGAATGATTCTAGTTGTTGTTATAGATCTAATTGGAATGCCAATAATAGAAAATAATCAATTGATTTGTATTAAGTACGTTTTGCCATTTCCATATGAATATATTGTGTTATATTTTAAAGGCTGCTAAAAATCAATTTTCGATATTTTTCAGATGATCGGAATACTATTGATAGCATCATACTAATCAATGATAAATGCTATATGTTCATGATTAGGCGTTGCATACATAATTTTTGAACACCAAACATATTATTTTTAATGAAAAGTTATTTTATTTATTCAAAATATTGGCATTCGGTTTTTATATATTTCCTCCATCTTTTAGGTAAATTGAAAGATTTAAGGATGAAGATAAATAAAAGAAGATTGAGATAAAGATTGAAGAAAATGTTGTTATAAAAACTTCTTATCCTTTCTTCTTCTTCGAAAGTACTAAAGTTAAAGTACTGGTCTGCCAGTACGTGCCACATTAATGAAAAGAGATGATAGTGAGATGGCGCCAGGTCTGGGGAGTACAGCGGATGTGAAAGAACACCCCCACAAGTGATCTCAAGGTGTCTTTCACAGATTTTATTATGTGACATGGCACATTATTGTATAACAAACTCACTTTGCTATATCTTCTAATCATTTTCGATCGTCTTTCGATCATTCGATTATTGATGATAGCATTAGTTGCTAACAAATTCGCTGGGCTTCAAGAAATTATAATACACAATACCGCCCTGGTCGCATCAGACACAAAACATTGTTTTTTTTTTTTGCTGAAGCATGAATACAGCTGGTAATAACAGTTTTATTTCTCAATTTGATAGCGTTATTATGCATCAGTATTTATTTCAATAAACCACAGAAAAGCAAAAAAAATTCAATGAGATATAATTTTAAGTAACTTTTCTGTGAATAGGGCTGCATGTTAGTACGACGTCACTTCTCTGACATATTGCCTGTGTTCATTTGTGAACTAACTTTAATGATTTTGAAGTTAACTGCCGATATATAATTTTAAATACTCAAAAAGTTTTATTTAAGGCAGCCGTAGCACAAATATTCTCGCAATAACATTCTTGATAATATGATATTGATGGCATACAACGATATGCCAAAAATAAGGAGACTACTATAAATTTAATGTATTTTTATTTACTTTAAAACTCAAACATTTTAAAAAACCACTTTATTTTTAATGCTAATCATAATCATTCTGTTTTATTTCAAAAGCGATTGTACTGCAGGAAAGATAAGTGGCCAGAACAATTAATAATAGATACTATTTGACGGCGAAAGTTTCTAAGTTGTGGTATTTAAAAGGAAGTTAAAAGTAACAAATAACTTGAATTCTTCTATAACAAAGCAGTATATAATTACTTATACAGTACATGCTTATAAAACGAATCCATCCGTATGTGACATTCTCAGCAAAAAAAAACAACATATTGTAACTTCAAAATATCGATAGTTCCAAGCTTAATAGTTATAGTCCATAAAAGTCATTCTTTATATAGCTGTCTCAACTAACAATTTACCATGTTATTACTTCAAAATTGGAAGCCTAGAACTAATAGTCTATATAATAATATAACAACTAAAAACTGATTTGTTATTTCTAAGCAAAACATTCTGATATCAATATGTCGAATGTAGACGAAGGTCCTAGATAGATAGAGAGTAACTAGCCAGAGTAGATCAGCATTATCCACCAGCAGAAAATACGAGGCAAGATGAAATAATAGTATGTGAGAACGAACGTCCGATTAGTTGGTTACAGTCAATATTATTGGTCATACTAACACAATGAGAAAAGCATACTGAAAATTCCTAATATAAATTTCTACGACACTCTGATTGAATTTATCAATTAAAAGATGCAGGCTCAGATACTTGACAGTACGTTCCGAGTCATGTTAGTTAAAAAGTAAAGGCACTATCATAACTAGCAGACTGGACGTCAGTCAAATAAACATAAATAAACTTAAACATAAATAAATTGTGCAGTATAATTTGAGTTGTTCTCAATTATACAACTATCTATTAAATAACATTAAAATAAAATTTAATTTGATATAAAAAATTAATTTCTTTTACAACAAACTATTCAGTAGAACTGAAATATTGAAATGGCAACAAAAATAACAGATATAAAATTCTGGAAGGGATATGCCCACAACATAAA